AAAAATTTAGAATACAAATTATCCAACATCGAAGTGCTCATTTCCAGAAAAATCTTAGTTTAAACAAACAAAAACGAGAACATTATCAATATCTAACAACATATATTATAAGTAATCTAAAAACAATAGATAATTGTACATTCTAACCAAATCTATTACCAATTAGTGTAATTCATATTATAAATTCTACTAGTAGAAATAAATTTGCAAAGAGGTGAAGAAGGATTTAATTGATATAGTTTAAAAACTAGCAGAGTTTTCATTAACCTCTGTATCTAGAAGACAGATACTGGTTTATGAATCTAGTCAGGTTCTCTTTCTTCTGGAAGGAGTTCTGAAACATCTAGTGGCTTCCGAAGTTTTCCTTATATATGAGGCGCACTGGACCCAAGGTGACATATGTTGGAGTCAGGCCCGAATATAAGAGTGTTATTCTAGGAAGACAGTCTCTAGGCCTGCTGGTTAGCGTCCTCCAGCATCCAAGGTGATAATCCTCAGCCCATGGAGTAAAGGATTTACTGGGTTCATCTAAACTCAGGATTGTGATTTTTCTAAACATACACATCCATATTCAAAAAAATGTATTCACTTTGGAAGTATACTAAGGTATCTGTACTACTGCATGTGGCTCTGCGCCGATCTCAAGTTTATCACAAATTGGGGAGAAAACAACTGAAGCGATAGTCAGGTAAAGTGATAAATCACTGAAATGATCTCTAGAGAGAAGGGGGGAGTAGAAGTAAGTTTTGATTGGTTTTCTGCTAGTTAGGATCTATATCATGAGGACAGATGCCCAGATAATAGTATTTTATCACTTGCTTCCTAATTTCAAGAAACAAGCTGCTGATAATTATCATCATTTCATTATCATGATGAGAGACATTTGTAATAACCAGACTTAATCATTCTACATCAGTGAAAGTGTTATATTTGTGGTTGTTGATATGCCTTTTTCTGAAAAAATGTCTTCTCTTTCCGGAAATATAATCAATTTAAAGAATACATACCTTCCAGAAGCTCAACTTGCTGATGAATCAGTATCTGATCTATCTATTATAGTTAAAAAAAAATTAAGCTGTAAATTTTATATCACGTTTATTAAGCCAACCAAAATAACATTACAGTTCTTATATATTAAAAATGTATATAATCAATTATCAATATATATCAAAGCGTATCAATATTCAATGAGAGTTTATATTACTTCTAGGTGTAACTAAAGTTAATATAGTTTTAATCAAAAAAATCTACTGAATATGCTCACTATGTGGGCAAATTCAGGTCATATAAAATTGACTTACGCTAGAATCCTTATATAAATTAGAAAAAAAAGTTCCTTCTAGAAAAGACATAAGAAATATTAAGACCTTTTTATACATTTAAAATGTGCTTTTACAAATATAATATTTCCTTTTTAAGTGTAGTTGGCATCATTTGTAATAGGTGATAACTTTCTCTATAGGTTTTGTAAGACATTTAAAAAAAGTCTATTTAGGGTATTTCTTGGAGAGTTTATGAATTGCTATAATTTCTCACGGCATATGCTTCCCAAGAAAATTGTGGGAAATTAAACTAGTGCAGAGCATGAATAAGAAAGCTAATTCATTTAAAACTGTTGAATTTCATAGGAATATTGGTTTATAGACCAAACACATAGAATTTCATATTCCCACTTTACCTACCAGATTTCTAACACCAAATATAAAACCTCAAATTGCTGAGATTAACTATCATGCACTACATTAAAATTAAGAATTTCTTACTTTATTGATAGAATTAATAATATTGAGTCTTTCAAAGAACCAAAGCATCATAAAAATGTAATTTTATTAATTATAATAAAAAGCGAGTTATAGCACATACAAAATATTAACTCTTTTTTTGGCACCACTTATTGAAACTCAACAGTAAATTGAGCTGGATGTTTTTTCTAACTTCTAGAAAATTACTCAGTGTTGGGATTAAAGAGCACGGGATATAGAACCAAGATTCCGGAAGTAAAAAGCCATTCCCACTTCCTTAGTGTTTTAACAGTGAGCAAATTATGTAACTTCTCCATAAAACATCAGCTCTCCTCTATAAAGTAATGATAAGATTAGCACCTATATATCATAGAGTTTCTAAAAGGATTAAAGGGGTTAACATTTATAATATACTTAGAAACAGAGCCTGGAAGATGGTATGTTTGTTAGAGGCTATTATCATAGATTATATTCAAGATCATAGAAAACACAATTTCCTAAGACATTTGTATTTTACTTTAAAAGTAAACTTGACTTAGAAGAATCAGAGTAATTACTTAGCAATCAAAACTATTTTACCATTTCAGTCTTTTGTGAATTCGTCATTTGTTAATCACATTAAGTAAAATGGAAGCAGAATGCTATTATTATTATTTTTTTTTAGGATTGTTTTATGTATTTAAATTACCTGACTTAAATATTCCAACCCTGGTGGACAGTCTGATGGAGGTGGTGGTGCTGGCATCCATGGTACTCCTGCAGGTCCACCTGGGTGATGGTACATGGGTTGGTGTTGAACAAGAAAGCCCACTGGGCCAGCACCGGCATAGCTAGGTGGTGGGACTGAATAGCCAGTCTGGGTGCCAAGATAGCCCACCTGGGTTCCAGGATAGGCACCCAGGTGGCCAGGGTAGCCAGTCTGTGTCCCAGAAAAGGCAGCTTGGGGGCCTGGGTAGCCAGTATGTCCTGGAGGTCCTGAAATATGAACAAGTGAAATAATTTGTAACTGCATTGAAAAATGGAATCACTGGCTTTTTTAGGATTACCTAAGTTATCTACAAACTGAAATTTCAGTTCAGAATTCCTGTTTCTATGAACCTTAAAGTTTATTTTTATTTTTCAGAAAAATTTTTCAATGAAATATCTGTGGTTTCATGTCCAGTTTCCATCTGAAGGGTTTAGAACTGAATAGAGTTGGCCCAAGTCTTACTCTTATCATTTGAAAATCACCAGAAAATATGCTTGAAACCTAAGAATGGAAAAGAAAATCAACAATGATCTAGAGTCATTTATATAAACGTTATGGAACGTCTTCAAGGAAAAGAGAGGTGACATTGAGTAGAAGGCCCAAAATAAAGGTTTTCAGCCAGAAGTTTTAGAACCAAGATCTCTATTAAAAAAAGAAAAAAGATAAAAAAGTAATTCTGGAATTCCAACAAATGGTATCTCCTGTATGTATAGCTGGGAACGGTTTTGCCCCCTCAAGGCATATTTGGCAAGATCTGGAGATGTTTTTGGCTGTTACAACTAGAGAGAAGGATGATACTGACATCTGGTGAATAAAGGTCAGGAATGCTAGTAAATATCCTAAAATGCCCAGAGAGCACCCTAAAGAGAAAGAATTACTCATTCCAAAATATTATAGTGCTGCTTTTGAGAAACCCTGATATAGAAGTAAAGGCATGTCATTTCTTCTAGTACTGTTCAGGTAATTTCCTGGGTTCACAACTTCCCTGAAGTTTTAACCACAGTATATTCTAATCCTAACAATCTCTACATGAAAAAGAAAAAAAAAAAAAACAGAAGAAAACAAGCCCAAACAAAACAGTCTATTATGATATTTAGGTGACAAATCTAAATTTCAAATTTTAGGACCTTCAGCTCTCTGGAAAATCAGTTCGAGAACCAAGGAAGGTAAGAAGTTGTAATGGGAAAATTGTCTTAAGTATTTAATAAGCATAGTAGAGGACAAAAATATACAAGTGTATACTCTATTGTCCACATGAATTTTGACTACAGTGAAGCTTCACAAGCTTATATGTGTAGTGCACAGAGTAGTACTTCCATAGGAATGCAATATAATTTCAAAAAACTGTGTTCTACAATATTTTAACAGTGAAGGCCTTGCAAAATTTAATACTTAGAATAGGCAATTTATAAATACTTTTAAATGGAACACTGATGAAAAATATATACACCATTAAAAGTAAGACTTTGAATAGAGAAAACATATGCTAATTTCTTTTAAATACTATAGCTTTGGACAGTTAAGAAGACTGAGTAGGTAAACGAGTGCTGGCCCCCTCTCGATATCACAGCAAAATTACAACTAACCTACAGAACAACTGTCAAGGAAAATTACATGAAATCTAGCTGATCAGAAGTCCTATAATTAAGGATATACAGAAGAGGCCACCTCGAGATTGGTAGGAGAGGCGGAGATGTGAAATGGGTTGGTCCCAACCCATTTGGAAGTTGAGAATGGGGTGGATTATCTTGGCAGCAGAGGTTCCCCCTGGGAGGAGTGAAGGGTCCCAGCTGCATAACGGACTCCTCATGCCGGAGCACAAGTGCTAGGAAAAGGAGTATCCAGAACTTCTGGCTGTGAAAACCCACAGAGTTTATGGCTGACTGAGACAGAGAACTGTAACAGTCCCAGGTGTTCTTCTTAAAGAGCCAGCCCATGGACTGACTGACTAAGCTCCAACACTGAGAAAGTAGCTTAAAAGGCACCATGGACACACATGAAGGAATTGAATTGTCTGGCTTGAGGGCGGGAGCTGTAGGAGCAGAAATGCTGGCAGAAGATATCATTCCTTTGTTGAGCCCTCCCCATTTTTGGGTTGCAGACCATATCTTAGTCTCCATCAACTGGGCTAACACTAACTGTCTCACCTCTGTGATTACCTGAGAACCCATCTCACCCAACTTGTGTCCCACTCAAACTGATTCCAGTGGTTTTTCCATAAAAATGAGCTCCTCCACTATAGTCATGCCTAGTCCAAACAATAAAATAGCCTGAGGGTTCACAAACCCCAAACAGGAAGCATCTCTCCTGGTGTGTCCCATATCTCTTGCTAAGCAACACCAAGCCCGGCATTAGTAGCAGCCAGCCTCGGTTCATAGATTAGCCTGTCCCAGGACCTTCAAGCTTAGCACAGATGGATGACATCTGTAGATCGCTTTCTAGCACCACCAGACTGAGCTTGAGTATCACCTAGTTATTTTCACAAATGACTCAATGAAAGGGTAAACTTGGCAGGCATCAGAGTCCTGCTAGGGCAAATTCTGCTCTGTAGGGTCAGCCCCAGAACAGCAGCTCCTCCACTATAGTCATGCCTAGTCCAAACAATAAAATAGCCTGAGGGTCAATCCATAGTACACGTATTACATAAAGCCACTCTACCAAGACCAGGAGACATAGCACCTATACCTAATATATAGAAACAAACACAGGGAGGCAGACAAAATGTGGAGACAAAGAAACATGTCCTAATGAAAGAACAGAACAAGGCTCTGGAAAAGATTACTTGGGGACAAGTAATCTACCAGATGCAGAGTTTAAGATGCTGGTTATAAGGATACTCAATGATCTTAGTGAAAACTTCAGCAGATAGGACACATAAAAATGGAGATAGAAAACATATACAAAAACCAACCACAAATGAAGAATGCAATAACTGTAATAAAGTATACATTGGAGGGAATCAAGAGTAAATTTGATAAAGCAGAGAATCAAATCAGCAATATGGAAGGTAAGGAAGCAGAAAACATCAAATTAGGACAGCAAAAAAATAAATAAATAAATAAATAAAATAAAAACATAAGGATAGTTTAAGTGGCACTTAAAGAGAAGGTAAGGGAGACTCCAGGACCTGGTGGCCAAATTAAACATATTGGTCTCTAGCTTAAAAGCAACAGGAAGTCAATAGAGTCTGAATACTCTCTGTAATATGAAGAGATTTGTATTTTAAGCTCACTGGCTATAGTGCAAAGACTAGACTATAGGCAACCCACTAGGTATTTTATTTAATATGTATATTTTGGGAGTTAAGTTATATGCAGCTTTATATTTCATTGGCTAAGTGTAAACTCATTACGATTTTTAATAACTCTATACCATTACTATCTTGTATAAGTATTACTTCAATGATATTTATGATAATATATAGTCAACAACACAAATCAAGAACTAGCTCCCAGGTTCATCATTGCACTTTTAACAAAATGCACTATTGCAATAAATACAGACAGAAACAAACCCTTTGGGAAATAACAGCAATTGATTAATTTTGGTTTTTATTTTTTAAACAAATATTTTACCTTGGAATGCTGCTGGAGGATTTTGAGGAGGATACTCAGCTGGTGAATTTGTTCCTGGGTGAGAAGCATTCATTTGCGCATCTGTAATACAAGAAGAGGTAAACATATATCTGCTTCAATAAAATATATGTTAGGAAGAAAAATACAATGTCTATAGATAAGTTTCATTTGTATGATCTTGTGCTATATTGAAAGAAAGTGAATTCTTCTCTTAACAAAAGCTATGCCTGTTATCAGAGTTATTTTGCAGTAGAATCCTGTTTCAAACAAATTCCCTTTTAAATATCATAAGAGAGTTGAGTTACCAGAGTTGATTGAATTTCTAATTTTCAAATATGCCTGATGAGTGTTCACTTCCATACTCTGATTTTGTTGGTGTTAGAAAAAATATTGTTCTAAAACCACTATAGACTGTGAAGAAAAAGATAAATAAAACTAGGTGGATGTGAGGATGGTAATAGAAAGATTATGGATGATTTTAAAGATATCTATAATCATTACTATAGGGATTTTTTAAATATTTAAAATAATGTATCTATTTCTGTATTTAAATATCCTTTTGATGCTTGCTCTGGAACTAGGAAATTCCAATATATGACTGATTTTGGCCTATACAAATCATGACTGACTTAACTACAATAAACTAACACATTAAACATTGTTATCTGCTAATCAATGTGCCTAAAATAATCTTAATATACGTACAAATGGTTCAACTCTAGTTCTTCATATTTGTGTTTCTCTAGTCATTCATTTAGCAGCCAGACAATAAATATTTACTGAGAGTCTCCTGTGTCACCCATGAGTTAGGCTCTGGGGCTACATTGGTTCTGCCTTTATGGAACTTCTGGTCCAGTGGACACTACACTTATACCATGTTCTCTTCTCTTTCCTTATGACTTACTAACTGTAAATTCAAAAATTTCTTTTTGAATTATGGAGACATAGCATGAATATAGAAGAAAAAGTTGGTCAAAAGTTGTGATATTTTTCCTGTATGCTTCTCTTTCATGAACCTTCAAAGATCACTCAACACATGTGGTTTTGACAGGAAGACTGGACTGTGGATCCCCTTTCTCCTCCATTCAATTGGCTTCATAATAATGTCAGCAGAATGGAGTCCCTGGAGGCTATTCAAATTCAGGATACTGAGAATCCTCTACTTCCATATTGGCTTTTCTCTGAACAGACACTGCAAGATACCCTGAATTATCACAGATCTCTGATATACCACAAGCCATTCCATCCCAACCGTTCTTTCTGTTTCTCAGCTTCAGTTGAGTGGCCTAGCTCCTAGTTCTCTAGTTCTCAAGGCTCTGCCACAGCCTCTGCCCCCAACCTGTGTTGAAGATGACAGGATCATGAACTCAACAGATCTCAAGACAACACATTTCAAGTTTTACTTAAAGACTTATCCTTAAAAGATATATGTCACATTTTGGCAATTCTCAATAGGCATCATTGTTTGAACAATAGTAAACACACATATGTCCATGATCTGACAGATTTAAGAAATCAGAGCTCATATCTGGGGTTTTGGTACTAGAGCAATGATCCAGGTGTCAGAAATTTTCAGTGGAAATTCATACAAAGAGAAAAAACATGAATTGGCAAATGGTCAGGTAGATCAAAGAGCATATAATTTATGGATGGATTTGGGAAATACAACTTAAAATAATTTATAAAATCATAGGACTGTCACATTGTGGTAAAGCTATTTTATTTATATTTATATACATATATGCATTCCATTTTAATTTATGCATACATACACCCACAATTTATATATATAAAATGGAAGAGTTAAAAGGTAACAATGACTGTGGCCAAAAGAATGTTTCTCAAGTGATTTGAAGCATCCTAAAGCTTACAGCAAGAAAAACAGCTTAATACTATATAAATTTACATTTAAAAGGCTTTGAGTTTTGTAAAAAAAAATTAAATTAAGAAAGCAAACATTAAGAGAAGATCACGAAACTTCCTGAAGGAAAGCTGAGGTTTCTGGTCCTAATAAATGATATTATATGTAGCAAGGCTGACACTGTAGTGAGAAATAAATATCTTTGGCTATCTAAACAAAGATAAACATATTATAAATCCTTTCAGAAAACACAATTTTATTTTTCATATTTTCCCCCATATGTATTGTTTTTCTCTCCAGAACCTCAGTTTTAAACAGAGAAAGTATTTTATTATATGCTTTGTCATACCCAATTTATTTAGAATTTTCTTGAATAAAAAAAAAGCCAGAACATAATGATCAGTACTTAATTAAAATTATTCACATGTGCATGTTATGAAATATATATCAGGGGTGTATCTGAGTATTTTATTACAATGAACTGACATATTAAATTTATTATGTTAATTAATATGATTTGAGTATTCTATGTATATGAGATGCACATAGAAAAGGGAAAACTGATCTGGATGGATACAGTATAAATTATACAACATATTTTCTAGTAAGCCTAAAATTTCTTAGGTTTATCAAAGGCTTTATTTTTTTAAGGGAAAATTAGTGATGGTGAATATTTGTATATATTTTCTCTATAGTCAAAACACTGAATTAGACTTTGGATTCTGGAGCATAAACAACACAAAGCAAATTATGTCCTTTCAGAGACTGAATAAAACATATGACAAATAACATTAACAACAAATTTAACATTATACTAGAAATGCAAATATTTAATTTACTTAATTTAACTGACTTACTTTGTTTGTCCATGACTTAGAGTTCTGAAAAAGAAGACGTGATGTTAATACCTTGTCTACAATTTTATTGGTCAAATACGACTGTTGTAATAAGATACTATGAAACCATACATATGCATAAGATATTCCCTTATTTTCTAGTTTATCAGAATCTGGTCATTTTAAATAAACCCTTTGTCCTGATCCATTCCCCATTGCTATGTTTCTAATTAGGACTCCAGAAGTTGTGGGTCAGCCCACATGGTGGACAGCGTGAGACTGGGCCCCAGGTATGGTTCAGCATAAGAAGGAAAAAGGCTATCTATAAGGTCACATTACTGCAAATATCTCTGGATATTTTGTGTCCTATGGACATGTTCTGTCCAGCTTGAACAGTAAATCTGAAAAGGCCTGACCCTTTGTTCTATGCTTTAAAACATGCTTTTAGCCAGAGAACACACTCTCAGGGGTTGTCATAGTTGTAGTACCATGACAATCCAACCAAAACTTTGTGTTTAGTTACTTCTAGAGAAAACAAAACAAAACAAAACAAAACAAAACAAAACAAAACAAAACAAAACAAAACAATATTGTACTCAGTACTTCAGCCCTCCAGTGCCTTGATCCTATCCTACTCTTTTCTACTATCCAGTCACTACTTTCCCTATCTCTCCACTTTACAACCCAACCCCCTGTATGCCTGTTAATTACAATTAACACATGAGGCAAAAACTCTGTTACTTAATTGTTTTATCTCGCACTCATACACTAACATAAATTAGCCCTGCACTGCACAGGCCCTCTCCAGTCTTGGCTGCCACTTTATTAAATCCTCCTACTGTGTTGTCTTAAATGGTAAATAAAAGTTAACTGATCCCTCTATATCCATGATCAAAGACTATATGTTAAAAGTAATACTTATTACCTTAAAATATGCTAAGAGTACCTTAACAGATCTGTAAAGTTAAAAGACTAAAGTTCTGGAGTACAAATAGGTAGTATCCCTTAATTAACATGCTAGACTGGACATCTCTAAAGTTGTTATCTATCCCTTGTTGCTCGTAGGACACCACTCTTTAATATGATTAGTTTAAAAAATATTCTATGGCCTTTAACCAATTTAACAGCAATTTTAAGTGACTATTGTTTCCATCATTCTCCCCTTGTCTACAATGTCAGAAAGGCACTCATTTTAAGGATAAATTGTTACAGGAGGAACACAGGCAAGTCCCCCACATCCCGTGTGTGTGTGTGTGTGTGTAACTTTAAAATTATTAAAATAAAATTTTTTTACTTAAAACAATTAAATAGTTTTAATTAGAAGATATTTTTTTCTGACATTTAGTTGTTTGAATCTGAGAAGTCCAGTGTCAATCAGAAAGAAAGGATGTGCCAGAAAGAGAAAATTCATGCTGTAGCTCACGTTAGTAACAGGTGGAGGCTCTTAAGCAATGGAGTGCCATAAGTTCTCAAGTTCTTGCCAAATAAGTACCAACTATGAATACAGGAGTATTTACCTTTCTTGGGGTCAGAGATCATTCCCTCCTTGCACAGAAATCCAAGGAAGAGAAAATTAACAGACCCCAAAACAGAGCTCATTTGTTCATATTTGCTCTTTTCTCTCCTACTTGGTTACATTATTTTGAGTCTTAAAACAAAAGTTTGTGAGGACGAGTATTTGCTAGGAAAATTACTGCAGAACAAAATCTAAGTCCTCACTCTCTTGTAGGTTTTAGAATTTTTGCTATTACATAATATCTCAAGCATGAAAAACAGTATGTCATAAGCTCTGGTGCAAAATGTTAAGTGACAGTTGTGCCTGTACGTGTGCCAGGTAGAAGAAAGTCCTTATAGATTGAAGATTTCCACCATGTTCATCCTTGTCCTCTCATTTGCTGTTTTAAGAATCTTTTGATTTTCTCATACTTAATGAGGTTAAGACATAATGTCACTTGGTTTTGGAAATGGCTGAGTTGAGGCTTGGGTGAATTAATTAGTTAATTAATTAACATGATAATGTTTAAATAATGCCTCCCACTACTCCTATAAGAAATAAATCCCAAAAAGACTTCAAAAAAGAGAAAATCATATTTATCCTATACTAAAAGAAAAGAAGTCTCTAATAAAGTCATATTATATATCATACCCCTGGAATCTAAATTGCTTCAAGACAAATACAAAACTATAAATTATAATCCAATTACTACACACTTTTTCCTACTAAGTGAGAGGTTCTGAGGAGATTAAGACATCATATACTGTCTTAATATAAGTATATCTCTGTTAAAATTATTCAGTCAGATATCATAAGGCTCATTGCTGCTCTGGAAAATTAATTATAAACTTCTACCACTAGGGATATGTTATGGTTCCACAATTCATATTACAGTGAAACCCTTTAACCATCTCTTGGGGTCCTGGAATTTCTATCCCATTGCTTTCAAAAAGTATTGTAAAATCTGGAATCCAAGGGGGAAGCATCGCTCATTTTGGAAAATCCTGAAACTACCTGTCTATAAACTAGGCAAAACTAGATTTGATTATTTATCCAAATTTACTTAATTGCCTAAGAATACAGCAGTTAACTTTTTTCATCAGATGGGGATATATGTTCTAAATTACTTTAGCAAAATGTTACCGCTCTAAAAACATCACAGAATTCTATATCTCTAACTTCCTATGAATAAATGAGAATGAGACAGTAGGCTAGGAAGAGGGGAGAAACTGGGCACAGGAAGTAGAGAACCCAACACTTGCTGAGGTAAGTCACAAATAAAATCATTTCCATGTTGTTCAGCTTGTTTATAGGTAAATTTTGTACATTTAAAAAGATTTAATTAACATCTAAGAACAAAAACATTTGTTGAACTGTGGTTTTGGTAAAAGATGAGCAGAACAAAAACAGATGAGTTTACACATATAAGTGGGCCAATGTGTTGTTGAACATTTGAGTACATCAGTCCACCATATGTGCAAGGTATAGGATGGAAGTGGGGTCGCTGAGACCAATTTATAAATGCAAAACATCTGGTACCAGGGAGTCTTCCTTTAAAAATCCACTACTATATTTTATGTTCAGGAAAACAAAACAAAAATATTCAGAACCACTTTGGGATAGCATTTTAAAATAAACCTTGAAGAAAAAAGTAGATATTACATAAACTGGGACCAACCGAGAGTTAAGTGTTCTACAATGATAATAGTAAACCAAAAAGACAAAAGAAACAAAAGTTAAAGTTTATGTCAGTTATCCTAGCTTGGTTGCTTTATTCATCCTGAAAAGCCTTTCTCAGAGCTCCCTCACAAATTTAAGTTGTTTTCTATCCCCCTTATAAATAAAGAAATTATGCCCAGAGAGTGAATGGTTACTTAATGTTATACAGCTCACTAACTAGTTGAATTAAAATGATTTGTGATTCATGTCATTTGTATTCATGTCTTTGATTCATTGAAAAAAAATCTCTCAAATTGTCAAGTTTCAGTAAAATTTGTTAAAAGACTATCTTTATGGCATCTTTCTTATGAATTTCAAATCTACTCATGGCCTTTTTGTTTTTACCAGGACAGGCAAGAGTTTTTGTAAGCACTTACTAAATTCGAAATTTGGAAAATGAAAAAAGCACGATTATTAGTACTGATGAACTACAGTACTTTGGCTTTTTCAATTTAGCGCAATTTAAGAAAGTGCAATAGTGTGTGTGTATACAACATACATAAATGCACATGTATAAATATGTATATAAATATTCACCTAATATAGAGCTTGTGTTTTTTTTCAAAGAATACCGATTGAAGGCAGAGAGCATGTAAGCCACTATAACAATCACTAGAACAAAATGACAGACAATATATTATTAAAAATACCCTAAGTGCTATAAATGAATATAATGGTGTTATAATAGTTATCGGGACACTAGTTGATGGGTGCGGGGGCGGGGTGGGGGGGGGAGTTGTCAAGAAAGACAGATCTGAGAGCTGAAGGAAGCCTCAAATCAACCAGGCCATTGACGTGTCGGGGAGGTGAGATATTAAGGAATTGCATAGGTAGAAGTTTTGAGGCTGGAGAGAGCTTGTCTCATTCAAGGGAACGTAAGGTCTGTGTTGCAGACCAAAGACAGTGAGATCATTAGACATGAGGATGGAGAGGTATACAGGAGACAGTTCATACATGTTTAATGTCTCTCCAGCTGCACTCTAAGCTCTCAAAGCCCAGAGCAGGGCCTGTCTTGTCCCGAACAAGGTATTTTACTGGTGCTTATTGATTCAGAATTATTTTATTCCTCTCAGGCAGAAAAAAACACCTCCTTTACAGAAGTGAAGTCTGCTTAATCTCTAGCTATTTCACATGCTACTTTTCTATCCAACTGCAGAAATTTAATCATTTCAAAAAAGCCCTTGTGTCTGGTCAGTGTCCAAAGTCCTAAAAGTGTCATACTCATCAGAGTGGTATTAAGAGAAACCTCTGCTGTTACAAAAGTTCAAGGGAGAGAGGACCCCAAATCACCTGACACTTCACACTAAGCAAGTGACACTTGTATAGTACTAACCATGTACCTAACATTGCTAAACGAGTAGAAACTAGGCTTCCTGTCTGTTCCTGGAACTGGGAAGTGACCATGCCAGGACTTCTGGGAATAAATGTATAAATAAAACCACATGAGAGCCAGATAGTAAGCCTGGAGAAATAGGGACTTTGCCAAATATAATACTCCAAATCTTGTAATTCTTTTAATAGTTACACAATTTAAGAGATGACGTAAGGAAGGGACATATATGAAAAACTGGCATTGAGTCCCTAGATATTAAATAGTAGAGACAGGATTAAAGACAGGCAGGTGGATTCCTGAGATAATGGTCTTTGTCTCTATGCTACAAACCGCCTCTATTTTCCCAATTCTTCCTGTGTTCCAGCGGGCCTAGCATAGTTTTGGGCTTCAGCCATATTCTTAATTAATATTTACCATTAAATGACAGCTAGCAGGCTCTCTTAATCGACCCTTCTAACACTGCCAATATGCTGGCAGATACTTGTGAGCCCAGGCTCTTTCTCTCATTCAAGGCGCTGTCCGCGCTGTGAAGAGATGTACAAAGGTAAGCCAAGCCTGTAAGGCGGTTATCAGCCAAGAAACACCCTGTCATTGGCAGGGTTCCTACTGGCCTGGGGTACCGCCCAGCCAGCTGCGGCCCCTCCGCGTTCCCTTGCTCCACTTCCGGGACGGCTTCCCGAGGCCGCTGGGTACCCAGCCCCCCCACATCCCCGCCAGCTACCCCGCAACCTCGACGCAAGCACATCCTGCCAGCCCTCGCGCCCCTCCCGCACAAGTCGCCCCCGAGCCCCGCGCCAGGCCTGGGAGCCGCGCCGCGCCCCCGCTGCTGTTAACGCTGAACGCCGCCTGCCCACCTGTGGCTGCTGCTGCTGCTTCTCGGAAGCCGCGCTGGGCGAGACGAGGTCGGGTAACCCTGGCGCCGGGCGGTTGCTCTCCTCCCCTCGGCCCCTTGAGGGCCCAGCGCAGCTCGTTACGCAACCTTCTCTAAAGTCACCAGGAAGGGGTCTCCGAGCGACCTCAGCGCGGAAATCATGGTTCTCGGTTTCGTTTCCTGGAGCCTATGAATACAAAAGGGCTCGCCTACCTGGTCCTCGCGCGGGCTCCTGCGGCCCCGTGTGGTTGAGGAGGGTGGAGACAGAGTTGCTGGCGAGACGGCTCTCCGAGTGTGGCGCGGAGGTGGCTCCCTCGCCCCCTTTCCTGCTCTCCGTAGAGAATCCAAAAACGTTGATTGTGCGGCTAAGGGCAACCAGGAACTGGGACGTTACTAGCTGTAACTTGGAAAGTCTTTATCGGGCGGTGTATCCGCCTCCAGGGTGGGGTTGAAGGCACCAAGCTCCTGAGAACTTCCTTTACTCTGAGCTGGACCTCCATACCTTAGATTTCTGTTGGCTTTTAAGGCTTGGGAGCTGTGGGCGGTTCACAGTATAAATGTGGAAGGGTCAAGCTTGTTTTTCTTTATGGTGCCGTCTCACTTTCTCTCTCTAGCTCTTTGTGTCTCTCCCTGTCTCTGTCTCTCCCTCTCTTTCCACAAGACGATGTTAATTACTGTTAAGAGTCAAATTGACCAGATGTGTTTAGAATGTTTAGTCTTTCAGGCCCCTCCAGTAAACAATAATTTGTTGGATTGAATGGAAGGATTCGTTAATTTTTTCTTTAAAATTTTTCATTTACAAAAGCAACACAATAAAGCCAAATGTTGAGAAAAGAAATGAAACATACTTTCGCCCTCCCCGCCCCCCCACACCCTTTTCTCCTCTTGACACTGTTGACAGACATTTAAAAACTTACTATGAGAAGAGGCAGGTGGCAGGAGAAAAGGGAGTTGGAAAGCAGGTGGATAGCGAAATTGAGAAAATAATACTGAAAAAGGAGGGAGGAAACCAAACCACTTTGGTTTGAATCCCTTCTTATTTCTGTGACTGTGCAAATCACAATCTGTCTCTTTTCTTAATCTGTGAGGGTAGTAACGGTGTCTACCTCGTAGGATTTTTTTGAGAATTAAGAAAAGTAAAATATACGAAAAGGTTAGAGCGATGCTTGCCACAGAATAAGCGCTCAATAAATACTATATATACAAAAATGCATAGTATTTTTTTTTACAAATCATTCACTAATGTTTTTCCACTTTATGATATACCTTGGAAATTTGTTTGCCTTTAATACAGAACTGTATCAATGATCTAATCACCGAGGTGTACTTTACTTCCAATGTCACAATTACAAATTAAGCTGTAATCATCATCCTTGTACATATCTTTCTATACACACTATAAAACCTGTTATTTTGTTCTCCTACCAATAAAGTATGAGAATGCTTATTTTACCACATCTCTCCACTTCCTGAATATCATTTCTAAATATTTGCTATTCTGATTGGCAAGTATTACATTATTATTGTTTTTATTAATTCTGGTTGTTAGTAATATTGAGTAAATTTTCATATTATTACTGAACATTTTACCATTTTTTTCTGTGATATGTCAAATGTTTATAATATAGAGTTTTCTGATGGATTGAGACATGATTCATTGTGCTCTTTATATGTTATGAATTGAATCCCTCATTTGTTAAATAAGACCCAGTGGGCCTCTGGATTGTATCTTATTTAAAGTTGTTTTAACAATACAGAATTTTAATTTTTAATCATCTTTATTTGTGCCTTTCACTTTTGACTTCTGGGATTTGCATCTTATTTTAGAAGGCTTTTCTTCTCGAGGACATCCAATATAAGTTATTCCTTGACACTTATTTATTCTTTTCTTTCTTAACATCAGGACACAATGGTTTGTTTTGTTTTATCAATAATAGTCGACATACAATATTATATTAGTTTCAGGGGTATAACATAGTGATTAGACATTTATATAATTTATAAACGGACCACCCCAATAAGTCTAGTTGCCATTTGACAATATACATAGTTATTGACAATATCTCCTATGCTGTACTTTACATCCCTGTGTCCATTTTTATAACTGGAAATTTGTCATGGTGCATGACCTTTTTAATGTATTGCTGAATTCAGTTTGCTAATATTTTGCTGAGGATGTTTGCATTTATGGTTATCAGTAATGTTGGCCTATAATTTTCTCTTTTTGTAGTGTTTTTATTTGTTTTTGGTCTCAGGGTAATACTGGTCTCATATAATGAATTTGGAAGCCCTCCCTCTTCAATTTTTTGAATTAGTTCAGTAAGAATAGATATTAATTCTTCTTTGAACATTTGGTAAAATTTCAGCTGTGAAATTACCTAGTCCAGAGCTTTTGTTTGCTGGGAATTTTTTCATTACTTACTCGATTTTATTAGCAGTTATTGGTCTGTTCAGATTTTCTATTTCTTCCTAATTCAGCCCTAGAATATTGTATATTTCTAGGAATTTATCCATTTCTTCCAGGTTGTCCAATTTGTTGGCATATAGTTGTTCATATTGTTTCCTTATAATTTTTTGTATGTGTTTGGTGTTAGTTTTCATTTTTATTTCTGATTTTGTTTATTTGTGCCCTCTCTCTCATTTTTTTTTTTTTTTTAATAAGTCTGGCTTAAAGTTTATCACTTTTGATAATCCAATCAAAGAACCAGTTCTTGGTTTTATTGATCTCTTGTATTGTTTTTCAGACTCTATTTTGTTTATTTCTGCTCTGACCTTTATAATTTCTTTCTACTCACTTTGGGCCTTGTCTGTTTTTTTTTTTTTTTCTCAATTCTTTTTGGTATGAGGGTAAGTTGTTTACTTGAGATTTTTTTCTCGTTTCTTCAAGTAGGCCTGTATTCCTACAAATAGTTCTCTTACAATGGCTTTAGCAGTGTTTCACAGTTTTTGGGTCAATGTGCTTTTATTTTCAGTTTTGTCAAAGAATCTTTTGATTTTTTCCTTGATCTCATTGTTAACCCATTTATTGCTTAGTAGCAATATTATTTAGCCCTCATGCATTTCCATATTTTTTACTTTTCTTCTTGTAATTGATCTCTAGTTCATACCATTATGACAGGAGAAGATGCTTGGTATGATTTCAGTCTTTTAAAATGTTTGACACTTGTTTTGTGGCTTAACATGTGGTCTATCCGTGAAATAGTTCCACATGTACTTAAAAAGAATGTATATTCTGCTACTTTTAGGTGAAATGTTGTAAAATATCCATTAAACCATTTGGTATAATGTGTCATTTAAGGCCACTTGATTTTCTGTCTGGGTGATCTATCCCTTGATGTCAGTGGGGTATTAAGGTCCCTTACTATGACTGTATTACTGTCTTTCTCTTTTTTTATGGCCGTGAATATTTGTTTTATATATTTTGGTGTTCCTACATTGCACGTGTACATGTTTATGTAAGTTAATCCTCTTATTGATTTAATCTCTTTATCATTACGAAATGCCCTTCTTTGTCTGTCCTTACAGCCCTTTTAAAGTCTATTTTGTCTGATATAAATATTGTTACTCCAGTTGTTTTTTGTTTGCTTTTATTTGCACGAAATATCGTTTTCCATCCCTTTACTTTCAGTCTGTGTGTATCTTTTAATCTGAAGTGGGTCTTTTGTAGACAGCATATATTGGTCTTGTTTTCTTATCTGTTCAGCTACCCTATGTCTTTTGATTGGAGCATTTAATCTATTTACATTTAAAGTGATTATTGATAGATAGGTGGTCAATGCCATTTTATTAATGGTTTTCTGATTGTTTTTTGTAGTTCTCTGTTGCTTTCATATTCTCTTGCTCTCATATGTTGATGACTTTCTATAGTGCTGTGTTTGTGTTCCTTTCTCTTTATTTCTTATATGCATCCCATAAATTTTTCATTTGTGGTTACTATGTGCTTCCTATATATGAAGATATTTTTATAGCGGTCTATTTTAAGTTGATGGTTGCTTAAGTTCACACACATTCTAAAATCACTACAATTTTTACTCCCTCCATTTGTTTTTGTTATTATTTTTCACTTATTTTGTGTGGGTATGTTTGTGTATATCCTTAATTATTGTTGTAATTACACATGTTCTTCCTAATTTTGTCTTTTAACCTTCGTGCTAGCTTTTTTTTTTTTTTTTTGAAGGAGAATTTTTATTACTTTTATATACAGAAAACTCAACAGTGTACACTCGGCCCAGTTCGGTGGCCAGTTCTTTAGCCTTTGCCTTTTCCGCTTTGCCAATGAGAGCTACCAGTTTTGGGGCCTCCCCAGTGACTGCGGATTTCATCATGTCAGTCATTCTGATTGGTCCAGATAGCTTCTACCAGCTTAGCCAGTACTCTTGTCTTCTGAGTTAACCTGAGTGAAAGCGATGGTAGTGCAGGTCTTCCTGTGGACCAGATGCCCCAGCCTGGCCTTCCCCTTGATAATGCAGAAGGACGCCCCCTCGCCCCCACCACCATCTTACAGCACAAGGCAGGCAGGAAGACAACCAGCTTAATGGGATCCACATCATGTGTAATCACTACCAGCTGATTATTCTCTATCAAAGTGGTGACAGAATTAACTCTTGCTCAAAGGACAGATGGTCTCTTGGTGGGGTCATCCCTTTTGCTAGCACCTTTTTTCCTCAGCCTGAGCCAACAATCTGCTTCTACTCTTGCTATGTATTTGTGGTCCAGCTTAAGCAATTAAGTAACTGTTTAGTGGTCCAAGACCTAGGTGAACTAGTTAATCGCAGGAGGCACTTTCAGGAGCTTACAGAGAATAGCCTTTTGCCATTGCAGCAGAATATGGCGGGGCCATTTAACAAAGCAGGTGAGGTCCCTTCTGGGATGAATGTCCTGTCCAATGACAAAATTCTTGGGTCTTTTCTCAAGTAGGGGATTTACCACCTTCTTCATCTCCTCCTTCTTCATGAAAGCAGGTGCCGGAGCCACCTTCTTCCCCTTAGCTTTCTTTCCCTTTGGCATCTTGGGTGGTGGGACAGAGGGTTCTAGCTTTATAATTGATTGATCCACTGCTTTTTCTAAGTGTTTGCCTTCGTCAGTGAGATTTTTTCATTCCCATATTTTCTTATTCACATTCTTTATCTTTTCTACTTAAAAAAGTGCCTTTAATGTTTCTTGTAATGCTGGTTTAGTGGCGATCGTCTCCTTTAGCTTTTTCTTTTCTTGGAAACTATCTGCTTTCCTATTCTAAATGATAAACTTACTGGATAATTTTCGTTGTAGGGCCTTACTTTTTGTTATTTTAAATATTTTGTGCTGATGACTTCTGGCTTGCAGTTTCAGCCGATGGTCTTATGGGAGCCCCCTTGTAGGTAACTGCCTTTTTTTTTGTTACTTTAAGATTCTCTTCTTGTTTCTCACCTTTGACATTTTAATTATGATGTGTCTTGGGGTGGGCCTCTTTGGGTTCATGCAGTTTGGGATTCATTGTGTTTCTTGGACTTATATGTCTATTTCCTCTGTCAGGTTAGGGAATTTTTTGGTTATTTTTTCTTGAAATAGATTTTCAATTCTTTTCTCTCTCTCTTCTCCTTCTGGTACCCCTATGATGAGAATGTTGGCATGTTTTATGTTGTCCTGGAGGTCCTTAAACTATCTTCAATTTTTAAAATTTCTTTTTCTTTTGCTGTTCTGATTGTATATTTTCTGCTACCTTGTCTTCCAGATCACTGATTCAGTGTTCTGCTTTATGTAATCCTCTGTTGATTCCATCTAATGTATTCTTTATTTCAGTTATTGTATTCCTCATTTGTGATTGGTTGTTTTTTATGATTTCTCTCTTTGTCGAGGTTCTCACTGAGTTCATTCATTCTTCCCCTAAGATCATTGAGCATCCTTATAACCAGTGTTTTGAACTGTCTCTGGCTGATCACTTGTCTCTATTTCATATAGTTCTTTTTTTGGGAGTTTTGTCCTTGTTATTAATTAATTAATTAATTAATTTATTTATAATTGAGATGTTTCTTTGTCTTCTTGTTCTGGCTGACTCCCTGTGTTTGTTTCTATGTGGGTGAGATTGACCCTCAGGCTATCTGGCTATTCTGGCTGACTCCCTGTGTTTGTTTCTATGTGGGTGAGATTGACCCTCAGGCTAACTGACTATGAAAGCTGTCTGTAACTACATTGGACAAGCTTGTTGTGTTAGGGCTGATCTCATGGAATAGTAGTCTCCTTAGCAGGGCTCTGTGATATGTGAGTCTGCTCTTTGGGTGTGTTGCTTATGGAGCTGGTTGGGTGGTGATATGATGTGATCTGAAGCAGGCCACCAGGTTTTTTGGCTCTAGAGCCTCTTAAGAGGGTTTCCAGTGCAGGCCAAGGTCAGCTGTCATTTTTACCCAGCTTAGGGCCACCTGGTGGAAGGTACAAAGTGAAATGCAGTTGGTTGCTATTTGTGCTGGGCTTGGAGGTGCTTAGGAGAGGCTATGCTGTTAACCGAGGCTGGTTACCACTAGCTCTGAGTTTGGGATGCTTTGTTGGGCACCACAATGTGAGCTGAGGCCAGCCAACAATTTTGCTAGGCTGTGGCCGCATAGTTGAAGCTACATTCCAAGCCAATACTGGCTGCAGCTTATGCCAGGCTTGTGCCAACTTATGGGAGTTACAATGCAAGGTAAGATCAGTTGCCCCTTGTGCCAGGTGAGGTTGCTTAGCAAGTGGTACAATGCACACCAAGACCAACCCCTGATTGTTTGGGATTCGGACCTTTGAGAGATTTTAGGAAAATCTGCATCTTTAGCTGAGGCAGGCTGCTTTTGTGGAAAAGCTACTGAAAGTGGCTAGGGCTGGGTGTGTAAATTGGGTGTGGTAGGGTCTCAGGGATTCACCAAGGGAGGGTGAACAGTGTTAGCCAGGTTAAGGGAAAGCAAGGTTTTGGTGCTCCTTGCTGTGCCTGCCAGATGAGTGGGGAGAGACCTCAACAAAAGAACACAGTGCCTGTTTGTGTTTTTGTCCCTGGAGAGAGCTTCTTTGACTCCTGCCCTTCCAACCCTCTCCCTGAAGCCAGTCAATTTAGTTCCTCCCTGCATATCTCTGATGCTTTTTAGCTTGCTGCCCCTGCACTGGAGCTTCAAGTGAGTTTGTGAGTGAGTGAGTCTGTGTTTGTGCTCTTTAAAAGGACACCTTGCTCTCCATCAGCTTTTCATTGCACTTAGATGCAATTTCTGCTGTTTTTCACAGCCAGATATTATGAGACTCCTCTTCCTGGCACTGGTACCTTAGGCTGGCGAGCCTGGTGTGAGGCTGGGATCCGTCACTCCTCAAGGAGGGCCTCCACAGCTGAGATTTCCTTCTTGATTCTTAATCATCATCACACTGTGGGCATGGGACCTGCCCATTGTGTTTCTGCCCCTCCTAGCAGTCTCATAGTGGCTTCTTCTTTATATTCTTAGTTATAGGACTTCTTTTCAGATAGTCTTAAAGTGGTTCTCAATGATAGTTGTTCTATAAGTTATTTGTAATTTTGATGTAGTTGGGGGAGGAGGTGAACACAGCATTTACCTGCTCCACCATTGTGACCAGAATATCTGACACCTGTTTATTCTAAATTGTCAAGAAGTAGGGATTTTTCGGTCATATTTTTATTTGTAATTGTATTGTGGTCTAAGAACATGCCTTGAATAGTTTCGATCATTTGAAATTTTTTGAGGCTTCCATTTTGGCCCTTCAAGACACAGCCAATTTTTGTATATATTTTATAATTACTTGAAAAATAGGTGTACTCTTCAGTTGTGGGTATAGTATCGTATTTTGTGTATTAAGTCAATGCGTTAATCTTGCTATTATTTAGCTCATTTTTTGTTTGCTTCTTCTATTAGAGGAATATTAAAATCTCCCACTATAATTATAGATTTGTCTATTATTGTTTTAGCTTCTTTTTTTATGGTGACATTGTTTAATGAATTCCATTAAGTTTCAGGTGTACAGTTCAACAGTAAGGCATTTATATATTGCATTGCGTGTTCGCCACCCATAGATTTCTTTCTGTCGCCACATATTTGACCCCTCTCCCCCACCCTCTGGTAACCATGAGTCTAATGTCCATGTCCATGAGTCTCTGTTTGTTGCTTTTAGGTTTATATCCCACATATAAGTGATATCATGTGGTTTCAAATTTTTCAGTCTGGCTTATTTCGCTTTTTTTTAACTTTTAAAAATTATATTTTGTGGTTATATGATTAGGCAAAACTAAGAGTAGTTATTTTATCCTAGTGAATTGAACCTTTATTATTATGAAGGTTTCTCTTTATTTCTAGTAATGCTTTTTCTTTAAAGTCATTTAAAGATTATATATAACAATATATATGTATAATTCATATGTATACACATATATGTACATAAATTCACACACACACACACACACAATCTTTTTCATATCCAAAGTCAAGAGTAGGAAATTTCCTCTGTGTTCTTCCCTCCTATATAATGGGGTTTACTTCTCTTTCATATTACATAGTTCCTGGATTCACATAGTTCCAGATGTCTTGTTATGTGAAGGCTGGCTTGTGGTTATGAGCTCTCTAAGGATATTTGTTTTTATTCTTCATCTGATTATATACTTGAAAGCAAACTTCTTTATTACTGTTCTCTTCTGCATGGTGGGGTTTATTTCCTTTTACTTTCATACTATGGTTGTAGCTCTCACGATTCTGGCTTTTTAAGCTATTTAAGGTTATTTTTATTCAAAAGCATTATATCACTAAGGATCTTAAGTATATTTCTTCTAAAATATTCTTTACTACTCTTATTTCTTTTTTGTATAGGCCAAATACTGAAGCCAGGAGCTTCAGAGTCCCACAACCCCAAAGCGGGATTGATATAATAGGCTTCATGGCAAGCAGTAAGCAAAGGTCCTGACATCTGGGTGCTTCAGATTCATATGAAGTAGGGCAAAGTTTTCTATTATGAGAAAAGAAGCTTAGTAGGTTATATAAATGTAGATGTGAATAAAACCAACTATATCTGTGTCCCAGATTTTATCTTTTGTTTTATGCTGTGACCTTTGACCAACCTCACTGTCCTTAGCAAGGCTTGTAATTGAAGATTATCTTGTTCCATAAAATGTAGCCATCAATATCTTTATTAGTAATGGCCAGAATAGCATGACAACCATAATAAATATCAAACTGGTGATGGTATCAATTATAAACAATCATCTATCATAAGACCACCAGGAATTACGGCCTCCAGTATTACTGCATTCCTGTCCCTTTGTCTTATCAATTATTAGTACCTGAGAATAATCTATGCAGAATTGCTAGGTCATCTGTTCTGCTCTTACCCAATCTTTCCATAAGTAAATTACATTACAACAAATCCTATTATATTCTACAGAGTTGCCTGCTTCATTTGTTGGTCTTGAGATAACTTCTTGTTATAGTGGCCATTATATCTTTGCCCCACAGTCGGACAATTGGAAACCTGAAAACAAAACAGGCATGGAAAAGGGAACATGTCAGGGTAAAGCCCACTGTCTCTAGGGGAAATTCCAAGCTGGCCATCTATTTCTATGTGGGGAGATTTGGCCAGGGTTTTTGAGCATAGGAGGCCAGCATGTGAGTATAGGGATCCCCCAAAAGATAGGACAATTTATGGCCATAGCTGTAGGCTGATCCCTCTTAGGGGTAGTTTGGTTGGCCACTTACACCAAGCTAGAGGCAGAAGCAAGAGTTAGAAAGATAGAAAAAAGAACTGAACTAGAAAAATATGTTAGAATGTCCACAACTCTGCTAGCATAGGGACTGGCTGATAGAGGTGTGTAGGGGGAAAGTCCTTTAAACAGATCTCACTTCTTTTATGGAAACCATGAAGCCTCTGTTTGCACCTGTTTGTAATGATCATGTGCATCTATATATGTGTTGTATTTGTGTGGTATTTTCTACCTTGAGATGGTATTGCTAATTTCAGCAGCTATGTTGAATTGGCTTAAAAACAAACAAGTGCTTATATAAATTGGCTATTCAAAAATTCTCAGGAAATAAACTAACCTAAATGATTTTCAAGTTCACATGATCTAATATTAATTTTTAGCAAATAAAATCTAGTTTAAGTTTGTTGATTTAATTAAAACTGACATGTCTGTAGAGTTATCAAAGGCTAAAGAATTACAATTAAGATGAAAGAAAAATAATATATGTTTATGGTAACAGAAGGTATAGGTTATGGAGATGCATTTTTGAGGGAAACAAAAGTAATTTTGTCCTAAAATGAGGCTGGTTATTTCAAGGAAAGAGAAAATACAGTACAACATCTGAAGGTAAAACGGAAAGTTGTAGAAGATTGTAGAAAGGAATCTTGAAAAAGGAAATTCTGCATGGTTCAACTGAATAAGATTAGAATGAATTTAATTAAGTACATAAATTTTAAAATCAAAAGTAAACTGATGCAAAATTAGAGGCTTTTTCTTGACCTGGAAATGGCTTTGGGATGTTCCAGAGGGCCCCTGGACTACCTCAGAGAGATTTATTTCCATATACAAGAGAAATATTAAACTTATTAGGTCTTGATGTACTGAAATTACACAAGAAGTATTGTCAAATAAGAAGTATCATTGAGCCTCTTCTTTATGTTGTATTTCCTTATAAGGATTCCAGAAATTGTGTGAAATTTCTGGAAATCTGAGATGTGCTGGCATAAGATGTCATCAAAATTGAGTCACACCCTAAAATGACTGAACCTGAGTGTCACATTATGGCCTATGCAGATAAAGTCTATTCTGTTTTAACAAAACTTACCCCACATTGCCAGACTTTTGCCATCCTTATGTCCTTGTAAACATGATGATAGTCTGATCTTGAATCAAAGAAATTAAGATGGGTAAACAATGGCTGTAAATTAAAGGAATAGTCAGGGCCGTGGGAAACCCAAGATGGATGCTTGGCTTTTCCAGGCTGCCCGGCAAGCCTCATTTTTTGTTTTTTGCATTTCTTTATGTCCCAAAGTACATTTAAACTGGACTTCATTGAAGTGACACTTACTATGGGTTATCAATATCTTTGTTGGTATATGTATATTTTTAGGATATGTTGAAGCCTTTTCCTGCCACAAGGCTGATGCCTTCACAATGACAAAGAAACTATTAGGAAATATGTTTCCCACTTTAGATATACTTTCCAAGTGCTCCCTCAGAGCTATTTGCATAGCCTCACCATATGCCAAGGGATGGTGGCTCAGAACCTGTCACTGTTTTCTTTCCTGACCTCAGTGAAATGAACTTATTATATCGATGACATAATGTTAACTTGTGAAGATTTGCCTCTGCTACAGAGAACATTGCACTTACAACAGAGAGAATGGGCAGAGAATCTGCAGAGAATTCAAGATGCAGGTACCGCAATAAAGTTAAAATAAGGTATGGTTGAGTAAGAATGCTGTTTCTAAGGCTTTCATAGACAAAGTACAAACCTATCTCATACCAATACATGTAAAAGAGGTACAGGATTTTGTGGGAATTCTTGAGTATTGATAAACTTTTATACCCCACTTAGCACAATGTCTTCACCCATTATATTGCCTAGTTAAGCAGGGATGTAGGTGGGACTGGGGAGCCTAACAACAGGATAATGTTGAGAAAGTAAAAATACTCGTCAAATGGATTAAAGGTTTTGGAATCTCCTAGGTGAGATTGCCATTTGGATCAGATGCTTCAGTAACCCCAGAAGGCATGGGCTAGGCATTCTGGCAAAAACAGCAAAAGAAGTGAAAGCCCCTTGGCATTTGGTCCCAACTATAAAAGGGGGCAGAGATCAAATGTCTTGATAGAATAGCTAGTTACAGTAAGAACTTCCCTCCAGTCAAGGTGTAGATAGAAGAATTATTTATAAGACCCACTTCAACTGTTACACAAGTCTGCAGAAATGGCATGCATATTTGCAACAGTTCAGTACTCATTCCACAAGTTATTTGGGCAATGAGTTACATGCCATTCTGTAGCCAATGTATTATGAGACCATTTTGGCTCCTCCTATTGAGCTCCCACAAGAGATGCCCTCATTAATGAAAGAAGGCACAGTCCCTATTCCTAAAGAAACATGGTACTTTAAAGGCACAGCTATGTACTCTTTTACAATTATCCACCTTACACAGGTGGGCAAAGGTCATTGCTAAGGTGGTTAGGAAAATAAATTTGGCTGATACCAGCATGGGGTGGCTCCCTACGAGTGCTTTGGAACTACTACACAGAACATTCCTCTAACTATGTCTGTTAAAAAGCTATGGCCTGATGTCTTAATGCTAGAGCTGATAAAGGGTCAATGTCAACTACTGTTCAGAGCTCTTGGAGACATCAAACCAGAAGAGCTCCAAGAGACACTTGGATAGGACACATTTTGCCAGAAAGTGAGGTGTGGATGGCCAGCTAAAGTGGTCCCCATTGATCATGCTGGAGTCTGGCCTAAATGTTCTGGGTATGACAGTCAAAAGCCAATACTAAAGGTCACTATAATTGGCTGCTTAGCATGGTCTCTTGCCACCTGCTCAAATTGCAAATCATCCTTCCGCCTCAGGCAACATGGTAAGTATACACTGCTTGCCCATAATCCACAGGTTGCATATATTTTAACTAATAAGGATGAAACTACCACTGTTGCCATGATTGCAAGGGAGGACCTCCCTCACCATATGCCTACTAAAAATTTGTCTCATCACCTTTAGTTTGCTCTTTCTGGAAACCATTACTGGAATGTTGGGAAATATCTTCCTCTTGGACTGCCACTTATGCAGAAATACGCAACTGATCCGACTGCTGAGTCTGTGGATTTCTGCCCAGTGTGGAAGGAATGCC